TGACGCAGGCACAAAGGGGATATGACGCCATCGACAGGCGACCGGTGAAACGCAGCGTTACCTGAATAAAATGACAGATTTCTCTGAGTTTGAACATTGTTGGAAACATTTGGGATAATGTAAGAACTCAACTACATACAGAACATAGAGTTTATACACTGTTTAATGTTAGATATCTTTAATAGAAACCAGAAACCAGTAAACGGCTGTGGCTGTAAGCAACATCACACACACACACACACACACACAGCCTCCTCAAACAAAGGCCTCAGTGTACGTTACGTCCTATTAAACACGGTGATCTGCCTCCGCTGGGCTTTGTAAGACATCAGTTACCCACCATGTGCTGGAGGGAGGAAACTCTAGCGCCGGAGCAGAAAATCTATTCTAGCATAACAATCCATCCTGACGTGAACATATTGCCATTACACTTCCATACAGCCCCGCCGCATAATTCCCCTCACAGAGAACAAGTGTATCATCAGAGGAAGCTCGATGCTGAGCTTCAAGGTTTCCGCTCCGTTTTACAGTCGACTCGTTTCTGTGCCGACACCTCGGAGCCCCCGCGGCGCTCGCACTAAAACGACCTTGTTTCCTAGTGGTGCGTTTAAACGATGGCGGCTGACACAGCAGGTCCCACATCAAAGTCACGGTGAAATGAAAATTCTTTTTTCACCTTGTTAGCTAAATGTCCAGATTATAACATACCGGCTTTTAACGGGAAGACTGCCCCAAACTACATTTTCTGTCTCGGGTTTTGATTAAAAATCCATCTTAACTGCTGACAGGTAAGAACTTCTATCTCAGCACGGACAACTTGCAGCTCTCACAGCAGCTTTAGAATTAAAAACTAACAATTATTTTCTTCTACACTTTAAAATCTAAGTTGTTTTTTAAGCACATTAAACATCAAATTGCTTTTTTAATTTGAACAAATGCCAAAAAACACAAAAATATTTATTCAAGTTACAATTATTAGGTTTGTACAATTATTACAGGAAACAGTCCAGAAGCTGAAGGAAGATAAATAACGTAAACTTTAAATCAACTGACAACGCAGTAACTGGTTAATTAATCAGCCAATCCATTAATGGACAGATTGTAGACTTTAAACAGGATTCTGCTCGTATGTGGCTCTATATTCTCCGACTGAGACTCCACTACAGCATCTTTGTATGATTCATTCTTCAAGTACATCTTTATTTATCCAATACTGGTCCTTCACGCAGCCTGAGTTCATCCTCTGTGTGAAACAAGCAAAAAGCACAACTTTAATAACTTTATTTCACTGATTTTAGTGAAACTGGATCATATTTTACAGAGAAAATCTTCGGTTTCAACTTTCAGTGAGTTTCCTGATTGAAATAAAGCCATAGATACTGTAGCTGGTAAGCATGCAGCTAACTAAACCGTCCTATTCCGTGACTCTGGACTGGGCGCTCAAAGAACCGGGGCAGTGTCGTGGGTGGTCATGACATTATGGCTAATAATCAAAACCCACACTGAGCTTCACAACGTCACAGAGACTACGTTCAGCCTATGGTTGAGCTCTGTACAAGACTAGGGCTGCACAGTTAATGGAAATATTATCGAAATCTCAATGTGGTCGAGCCCAATATGCAAAACACACAAGATGCAGTTTTTTGATAAAAGTTCAAATGTGACAAACATTATAAGAAAAGAGTCTTGTTCTCCAGATTTAAAGCTGCGATTGGTAAAAATGTTTATAAAAATGATCTTTTATCATATTTGCTGAAACTTTCACAATATCCTGACAGTTCATGAGACAGATAATCTAAAACAAATATCAGGTTCCTCTGGCTCCTTCTAATGGGCCGAACGAAAACAACCAATCAGAGCAAAGAAAGATAGAAAGAGGCTTTGGGTTGGAGGCTTGAAGATAGTTTAGTCTCATTCCCAAAGCGTCCTTACCATGTAATGCACACTAATCCTACCTGAATCAATATCTGTCACAATACTTTCTACTAATACTACTAATCTTTACACTGTGACTTTTTTAAATTCTTCACTTGTTTC